TCACTTCAACAATTATTTCCTATTGTAATTTATTTATTAGATTCATATATCACATAGAAGTACCAATATGCAGAAGTACTGCAAGAAATAATGCTGCTCATCCCAAAATACATCCTTGTGGACATGTGAATTTGCTTTAGCAGCATATGTTTAAATTTTTATTTCCTGAATCTGAGAAAGACATCTCAAATCTAAGTTGCTGCTTAAAGCCAAATCCAAAAGAATGCAAGATAGAGGAAACAATATAAAATATGTACATACTACGGCTGCGTACCACATACAATTAAATGCTCTGAGTCTTAGAAGGGTTTTCATTCTAGCCTAATGTAGTACTCTCCCCTCAGCACTGTTGGAAGGAAGATATAAGATAATGTCATACCTACCATGAGTATGCCCCTGTGATTCAGGATAGGCTGAAGCCATTGAGCATGTTCTCCTCTATTGTCATTTCTATACAGAGCTTCACAGCACTCTAATTACTCTACTTCTGAATAATATAACAGGATTTATCAACTATAAATATATATACAATTCTTGTTTTCTGATATTAATCCTGAGACAACTTGCAATAATTAGGTTCTATGTGGGTGCATATAAAATAAGGCATATGGTAACTAAAGTAGCTGAATCTGATCAAGCATGGTCAGCCAGATATGGTTTATTCCCAGTATTCAGTTTAAGACTGATTTTTTTCTATCAGTCTTTTAGATTGAATTTGTCTCATATTCTTGCTGGGTTTGTCAGAGGTTTAAATCTTTTTAAGTTGATTTTACTGTTTTATTTAATGGCACCTATTTCAATGTTTCTTCTCACATTGACCTGTTAGTCTTAACAATTTTTTAACTACTTTCTTTTTAGCTAAAATTTCTTGTACATGATTTTTATTTATTTTAATACTACCAGTCTAGCCTATAGATCTATGGTTAAATGTGCCTCATGATTTGCTCTGTGCTGGTTAATGGCCAGGAGGAGGAGGAGGAGGAGGAGGATACAACAAAAGGAGCCTCTCTCTTGTTACAAGGGCCTCTGGATTATGCATAGATGAGTATGAGCCAAGTCATAAACAGTATCCAAGTCTCTCTTGTGCTGCATAATCTCTGTGAAAAGTCATTCTTGGAAAGGTGTTGCTTGACTAATACATCTGAGATTTATAAATTAATCCCAGCAATCTGAATCCGCATTTTGCACAGAGGATAGATGTAGAATGACTTCAGGATCTAGGAACACGATTATGACTTTATACTACTACTTGTTCATCTTTGTCCCATACAGATCCTCATTTCCTCTTCTATAATAATATTGTGCCAACCTAGGTGTTGATAACAGGCCATTGTAATGTCAAAATGATGGCACATGTGTCACAATGTCTTTGGGCAAATGATATGATTATGAAATATGTCATGATATCTGATACAAGAACACAAGTTCATCATTTGCATGATGACAAGATTCACTTGTCATTCATTCCCCCTTTCCTTGCCTCCCTTCTGGATAGTGGCCTATCAACTCTTGTACCATTCAAGTAATGTTAAATATTTTGTTGAAATTTAAAAAACTATTATTAGTTTTGATGCACTGTGACAATGCTTACTACAAACCAGAGCAATTCTAAGAATCAAAACATCTATTATTCATATAGCAACTACAGAAAATTTCAAAGGATTTCAGGAGTTTGATTTATCCTCAATATGATAATATTAATTTGCTAATCAAAGTTTGCCCCATACAACAACAAAAGCAAAAATGTTATGTGTTTCCTCACATACAAGCAGACTAAATGGTTCAAATGCTTTATCTTCATTGGACTGTTTTCTGTTTATTTTACAAGTCAAAGTGAGATTGAACAAAAAGTTGGTAGTAGAGATACAGAATTTAAAAATATTTTTAAAAAGAAATCTAAAGAGAATATGAAAAAAGAAACCTAATAAGTAATTTTGAAGAGAACTATGGACATCTTAAATACCCATATTAAATATTTCCATCCAAAATTATATGTGTACAAAGATAATTATTAGGAAAAATATTAATATTCACTATGAAGTGATGACCAAATGTGAATTGCTTTTCGTTTTCATTATTATGTTAATTTTTGTGTCCAAGTTAAATTCCCACACTTTTAAATAATACTGTCCAAACTAAAAATGCACCTTAATTTTTTCCAATGTTTTGCAGTAACCAGCCTAGTGGCTAGTAAGAAAAACTGAATCAGTTTGTTATGTAGGTTTGATTTATATATATTAAGAAATATAGGCAGTGACCTTAGGATTCATTGTAAAAGATTGCTGGCTGCACTTTCCTAATTTCTTCAACAAATTTTGACCAAAAGCACCAACTTGCCAACTAAGCTGTTAATATGACCAAGTTGTTTAAACCATTAGCAATACAATCTACAAGAACAGGACTTTATATGATATACAATTTTATATTAGTACTTTATTATTTAGTTATTTAATTCTTGAATACATTCTGTGTTATAAAAAATTCAAATGAGATTCATTTAAGTTCAGTGTCCAAATCATATTCCAGATTTTAAAGTGTTAAAACTAGAGGTAATGTTTTTATAACGTATGTGAAACACCCTTACTATTAAATGAAGTAGAAATACCCTGTTTTGTATTAATATTATATATACAGACAGAGAAAGAGACAGGGGTATTCTTTAAGGAATCACCAATCTGAAATCAGAGAGCCAGTTTGGTCTAGTGGTGAAGGTACCAGGCTAGAAACCAGGAGATTGTGAGTTCTAGACCCACCTTAGGCATGAAAGCCGGCTGGGGTGAAATCAGGCTGAGACGGTGTGTTTTCCTTCTGCAAAAATGTATTCAGAAGTCACAGATCTCCAAACTCCAATTAAATATCTAATTTAATATAACCCTGTTTTTTCCCATGTATGGTATTGAACAATGCTTAAAACATGAATAATCACAGAATGAGAGTAGAGGCAATGGGTCAAGAGCCAAAAGTTGTTCTCACATTTTCCAAGCTTCTAATAAAATGTTTAAATACAGATCTAAAATAGTGGTTATTAATTTCTTCCTTTCAGAAAGGAATGTCATTCCCCTAACCAAAGAATGCTAACTTTGTACTGACTGAAAATTACCAGAGTTTCTAATAACATGAACTGTCTTAATTGAAAAAGTTCAGAATAATTTTCAAATCTGGTAAGCTGAGACATCCCTCATGTTTATACCATATAGTTGTCTGATTAGAGGGTTTTTATAAATATGGAGAAGTGAAGAAAAAATTCTTTGCCTATACGAAACCAAACAATTAGCAACCGAAATGAAGGGACTGAAACAAAAACAGCCTTTTTGGCAAAGTAGACATTTTAATTTCTGCTATTCTGCCAAGCAATAATAATGAAAAATACTGATTGGCATTGTTTTTTTTATCATGAGCAGAAGAGAATCATAATTCTATTTTGTAATTGATTCTGATCCTTTGTAATCATTACTTCTAAATCGACCTGAACTAATACAAAATCTAGTAATGCTTTGAGCCTGTTTCTTGATAGCTTGACAATACTAAGGAACATAGCACATGATTTTTAAAGTTAATCTGTTAGCCTGCCAGTGCATAACATTTATTTAATTCAAACTACACATGAGCTATGTCTCTATATGGATTAGTTAAAATAAATAAATAAATAAATAAATAAATAAATTGTTGCAAATTGATTAAATACAGATTATTTTTATATTAGAATCATGAATATTCTTATACTTTCTTTACTATTACTTCAAGAATTGAGATTGAAAAAAAATACATGAATGGGGCATTTTTATCTGGTAATCCTATTCACCTTCTGTATCTAATCCACTGATGTGAATTACTGCTTTTGCCAGTGAAGGTAACTGATTGTTTAATCAATCCTACTTTGGAACTTATTAAACATTCTAAATGCAACAAGGTCCTCATGATCAGCCACACCTACAAGGCTCCTTCTTAAACATTAAGCATAAAATACTTCAGCTGATATGAATTTGGCTGTAAGCCATTTTATGTACTAGTTATTGCATATGATACAATGTGATGAAGAATAAAAACTGACTGACAAAAATGGTTTCATTCAGTGTTATGGCACAGTTTACTCCAATTTCTAGCTTACGAAGTGTACATATAACAGAATTTATGTGTATCATGTGTTGGTTCGCTAGTAGCTATCAGTATATTTATTCCAAAATATGGTTGGTTTGTTTTTTAAATTCCCTTATCAGTACTAATACAGTATTTTGGTTGGGCATTTGGTTGGGCATCAGCACTAATATGGGATTTTGGTTGGGCAAAGAAAAAGGAAATATAAGTCTTCACTTGTTTAGACAACGTGGGATTTTATAATTCATAGCTATGAAATTCTATAGCTATAGAAACTGTCCTTCATTCTTACATGATTAACAAGCAAATAATTCTCCTCTCCCTCTTTCTCTATTTAAATGTTTTTGCTGATAAAAAGGAACAAGTATACTTGAAAATTAGCCGGAATATGTGTCAAGTATTTCACTCCAAGTAAAAAATTTAATTAAAAGTTGCCAGCAGAGGTTAATAGGAAAGCTGTCAAGATATTTCATAGAATTAAAATACATTGTTAAAAAACAATGTTTATTTCATTGATCCTTGAATTGCAAAAGTCTTATTTTCCCCCTAACACATGGGTACTTTGTACTACCCGAGCTCATCAGCTTAACTACTATAAGCAGACACTGTAATTCAAGCATAAAAGGAATAGTTGACTTCAAAGTTCCTAACTTTATAAAAAAGCAAAGGATTGTAAAATTATTTCTTAAACTGACAGTTCAGTTTATGTAAATGGGAAACTGGATCTCACATGCTCAAAACTGAATGGATGTACTCTATGATTTCTCACATTCCTTTATTCCCACAGTTAATGGAATAAGAATTAAATGGAATCATGTTAAATGCCCCCTCAGATATAAAGGCTGTATTATTTGGAAATTCATTGATGTAAATTTTATTTTTCAGAATCAAGGTTTTGAACTCATAAACCATAGCATGAGTTTATTTCAAGCAGTAGTATGCTACTTAAATAATTTATTAAGATAAGTAAAATAAAATAGGAATTTTCTTCTTACTCCTGGTACTACCTTACTGACTAAATAAATACCTAGGTTTTGTTACGCAAAAATCCTGAAAAAGAAACTCCTGGAACACAGGCTTAGATCACAAACAAAATGGCTCTTCTTAGTGAGGCTAACACTATCACTATATGTCAGTTCTTACAAACTTCAAGACTGCTGACATACAATAATATTAGATTTAGTATCCAAGAAAGTGCTAATATTTATGATTTAACTCTAATATTTTATCTTCAATCAACAGGCCTTTGCCAAATGTGTTTTATTTAAGAACATCATCAATTAATTAGACTCTTAACATCCATCTGAATCTCCTTGACCTTTGAGAAAACTTTAATTTTACAAGATTAAAACTCTAAAAAAATAGAATTTAGGAAACAACAATCTATAAAATTGGAGACTCTTTTCAGATGAAAAAAGAAAGGGTAACTTTTTTCAGACATTTTTTTCTAAGGGAGTATTTCCATTCATTACTTACCTTTGAACCCATCAGTATACACTTCAGGAAGAAACTTTGTGCTGATGTCTCCCTGGATAAAGCGTGGATGTGTTATTACCTCACGTAGCAATGCTATATTATGAGCAACACCTGAAAATAAAACATGTATTCCAATTAGACTAATAGCCAGAGAATGTATGCTCAATGATATTTGAATTGACAAGTCAAAGCATCCAAAGAAGAAAGCTCCAGATGAGAAATGCCTGAATAAATGAAATTTAATATCAATAGTATTTAATATTTAATAGAGCCAGTTTGGTGTAGCGATTAGAAACTGGGAGACTGGGAGTTCTAGTTCCACCTAGGGCACAAAGCCAACTGGGTAACCTGGGCCAGTCCCTCTCTCTCAGGCCTAGGAAGGAGGCCAGGGCGAACCACTTCTGAAAAACCTTGCCAAGAAAACTGCAGGGACTTTTCCAGGCAGTCGCCAGGAGTCAAAAACTGATTTGAAGACACACACACATGCACACATACACAAAGTAAAGCACAGCAATCAATCAGGATTAATCCAAATATTTGAGCAAAGTACAGTATACCTCAATAAGCTTCATATTTTTTTCCAACAGAAATAATATCATTATAAAGACAGAATAGAAAAGACAACTTCTTAAAACATTCAAACTGATATTTTATTTCTGAGGAAAAACAGAGCTTCTGTGCAGGGATTTACTTTCTGCACTAATAATCTTTTTTTATTATCCTTTGTTTGATCAGTAAGAGAAGATAGTCTACATTTTTTTAAAACATCAGATTACCAGATTTAGTTGGAAGGACAAGTTACATGGAGCAAACGAGCAACAGAGTTGCAAATAATGTAAACTGGAAGCTGAAACGGAAGCAGGCAAGATGGAGAAGCAGCGGCTGCCATTTCAATTTTTTTTAAAAAGGGATTCAATTTGCAGAAGCTGAATACTTGCAATGGATACCTTCTCTATTCATGAAGGATTATCATCTAATTGAGGACTCTAGATAATTAGAATGCTCCATAAGTGGACAGTCTCCATAGATACAGGAGGTTTACTGAAGAGATAATTCACATGTGGAGAGGAATAAGAAGATGGTGAGGCTAGGAAACTAGGTCTTATTCACAGGTAAGTGTATTTAGGACTTTTAGTCCTGTTTGAAGTCCTAAACATGCTTACCTGGGAATAAGAGTTAATTTACTTAATCAGAATTACTACTACACATGTACAGTGTTCCTTGTTCTTACAGCCCATACTAAAGGATACTCTTGGCCCATTTCCTATTTGCAAGAAAGAAGAAAGACCAGCTCACTCTTCCAAGTATCCATTTCACAGTTCCCACTCCAGTTTATATGGAATATGGGCATAATAGGATGTATTGGCACCATGGAAGATTGTTGAGGAGATACTGGTGTAGACCCCTTTTTCCCTTTGCACATATAGGAAATAACTGTGTAGAAAGGGTTTCTTCGCCAGCCAAGCTAATATGTGTGCAAATCCTTCCACGCATACTTGGAAAAAGTTACTTAGAAAGCTTTACGGATTGAATCATTATCACTCTTGCCTGTGAGCCTTTCCTACTTGTAAGAAATAAGATGAATGCACAAGCTCCCTACTCTAACATCTGCTAAAGGGTGAGGAGCAATGGCTGCACACTAGAAACAGTATTTTCCATAAAGGTACTCCCAGCAAAGGGCCTCTTATTGATCAGAGATGTCATAAGACTATATCCAGGTGTTGCCTACTAGAAACAATGCCTTATTTTTGGCAGAAGGTCACTTATCTGATTTCCTATATTATTGACTAGGGATGTCATGAGATCATCCTCAAGTGGTATCTGCTAGAACTGTAAAAATATCTCTGGCAGAGCATCCACTGTCTGAGGTTATAACCAAATCACTAATAAAATATGCCATGAAGCCATCTCCAGGTGTTACTATTTATACTCCCTGTCTCTTAAGAAAAGTATAAAAAGCCGCCAGACAATTTGAACCTCAGTGTAGACCTACAGCCCCCAGCAAGAAGAGGTATTGTGCAACCAGTGGCCAGCTCCAGGGGCCCATCCACTTTTGGAGTTTCTGGTTCGCTGAAGAAATGTATGTATGTATGTATGTATGTGTGTGTGTGTATGTCTCTCTCTCTAACTCTCTTAATACTTATCAATAACATCTTTTGGGTATATCACCCTAGCCTAGCTTATTGTCCTAAGAATTCTAAAGAACCTGTTGTCTCCTGGCTGACCACCAGGTGGCAGTATGTAGTAGTCTTTATTAGAGTCACTGACCAGAACTCTGTGAGTTAGCAAAATACTTAAAATAATTAAACAGTTTAAACAAATAAAATAAAGCAATATAACATTAGAACTAAGTCACTGAGGTAATCAGGGCATTTCTAGTTTTATAGACAGTGTAAGAAAATTTATCCACGTTCAAGGATGCAAAATGGTAAAAACTGCACATAAAATAAATCAGAATTGTCCAGGTACCTTGCCAAGTAGAGAGTTATACAGTAGGCCCTTCAGTCCTTTTAGAAGGCACAACATAACAGGACGTGAACTATGGATTCAATGGAACCTTCTCCACAAGAGCACAATCTTAGTTTGTAAGGAAATATTTTATATTTGCCCTCAAGAACTTCTGTTGGGAGGACCCTGAAATGTGCTAATGTTAGTGCTCTTTGGAATTTAGGGCAGTTACCAGGAGTTCTCACAGCCACTCATTCAACAACCGTTCGAAGTTACAACAGCATTGAACAAGACTTAGGACTGGTCCTCATAGTTAAGACCATTGCAGTGCCCCCAGGGTCATGTGATCACACTTTGGGCGCTTAGCAACCAGCTCACAATTAAAACTTCACAGTGTCCTGCATTCACACGATCACCATTTTCGACCTTCACTGCCAGCTTCCGACAAGGAAAGTGAATGGGGAAGCCGGCAGGAGGTCACAAGTAGCAATCACATGATGTCGTGCCTAACGACCATCCGGGATTCATTTAGCAACAGAAACTGGAACTGCTGCAACTGCCATCCTAAGTTGGCACAGCCACGTGACGCTGCACTTTACGCCCGTGTCACTTAGTGATGGAGTTACCGGTCCCAGTTACTGTCATTAAGTGAGAACTACCTTACTGTTCCTTACTGACCTAAAAAAAGAGGCTCAACTGCTCAGGAACATATTACTGCATAAGGCAGATAGCAGCAACTGGTGCATAGGAGAGATTTTGCGCTAACAAAATCAGAGGTCTATAAATTCCATTCTGCTTACCCTCAATTCAATTTAATTATATAACTACATGCAATACTAGCAAAATTTCAGCGTCTGATTTAATTAAGCCAGTATTGTCCAAACTTGGCCACTTTAAGATGAGTGGACTTCAACTCCCAGTGGACAACACTGAGTTAAGCCAATCTTTGAACTTAGTACCTTCAAATACCCAAGTTCCAATGTCACCTTCAGTAACCAAAAGACACAAAAAATAAGTGAAATTCTGTAGACAACATGCTATCAGTGAAGTTGTATAACCATATTTACTGTAACAAAATTCCCAGAGGATTACAGATTAAGGAACTAAAATTTGATTATTTCTATTGCACATACACTCCTCTCTTGCTGTCTAAGGGTAAGCATACCTTCTGCCATTCTCTATATTCACAGGTAGCCACAAACATACCCCTACTATTGAATGCAATAACATCACATACTGCAATGAAAAGTGAGAACTGCATGATTTTTCCTTGCCAAACTTGCTCTAAGATCCCAGTTAACAGTTGGTGACTGATGTTAGGGATTTCTATGTGTTACTGATTACCCTAAGAAACCGCCCATAGTCGCTGGAAGTCAGGCAGCATATACATTTAATTAATTAAACTAATTAAAGTAAAATTAAATATGATTTCATTTGTTCATACTAAGAGAAAATAAAAGTTTATGCCATATGTCATGCCTTGAAATTATATTTATGGCTACCCCCCCAAAAAAGGGGGGAGCAGCAGTATCATAAAAATGCTTACCCTCTTAAATGCTTAATAATGTAAATTAATTCTCTGAGCATGTTTTTCTTTTGCCCAGATTTGGACGCTTAACCAAATCTACTTCCAACCAAGCAAATTAAGAGCTACACTGCTATAGCCTCAACCCGAAGGTATTTCATACCCAAGACTTGAAAAATTTTAACGCATGATTTGCAGTTTAGCATGACCTCAGTGAAAGTTCACAAGATATCCCCCATCTGTGTGAATAACTATGAGGCTACAGAAATGTGGACCCCTTTTGGAGTTTACCCTTGGCTACCTGCTGTTTCAAAAACACCAGCCAGACATTAACCCCCACATTCTCAGAGGATCAAGCAGAGGCCAGCCTGAATTCACATTGAACTATATATTACATCCATCCTTCAATGAGATTTCTTCCTGTACCTTTTTTAAAAAATAAACTTAATAATCCAAGCAACTGAGACTGAAATCACAAAACTAGACAGACAGACTAACAGACATTTATTTATTCATGATGCAAAAATAAAAAATTGTTACCAGCTTTGCTTTTGCTCCAAAGTGAAAAAAAATACATGGTTAGAATTAGCATGGCAAGCACATCTTTCATTGCACTTTTAGAATTAAATTTCTATCTCTTTTTAAATATATATTTCTTAATTCTAAAAAAAAAAAAAAACATGCAGGAAGTTTTCATGGTAGCTAGTCATTTCTATAGTGCAAGTTTTCTTCTAGACAATGTAGTATACATGAAATTTTCATTTTTCTTTACATATTTTTGAGCAGAGGTGACTGACTGAAGGTTATGATTATGAACTTTATGATTTGGCAGGGACAATGTCTCTCTGGTCCAGATAATGATCACTTGATTGCCAGTGATGAGTAAGAATCTCCTCCAAGTCACAAACATGAAAACATTTGAAATAACTTCTCCCTTTCTACCGCTTTATATACAATGATGAATGATGCAGCACATATGGTAATTATGGATGTGCGCACTTCAAAAATGGTTGGGAGGATGTGCTTTAGATCTTGCTTGGGATGAGTACAGCACATCTCTTAATTAAAACAGACTACCTTTTTTTTCAGGCTTCTGTGCAATCCTGAAAAACGTGACTGCTTCAAAGAATGGACTAAA